CCGAAGATCTAATATTCATGTTGGACAGCATGAGGAGTAATAACTTAAAATCAAAGATAAGGAGACAATTCTGAAAGCAGCTAGGGAAAAGAGAAGCGTTACATACAAAGGCAAGCAAATCAGATGAAGCTCGGATCTCTCAGCAGAAACCATGCAGGCAAGGAGGCAATGGGGTGGTGGTGTTTATGTGTCGTAGAGTTGGAACCGACTCATAGCGACTCTGTTCAGGGTTTCCAAGGCTGTAAATCTTTACAGGAGCAGAAAACCTCATCTTTCTCCCATGGAACAGCTGGTAGTTTCAAACTGCTGACCTTAAGGTTCACAGTCTGATTCATAACCATTCGCTACCAGAGACAAATATGAAACCCTGAAAGAAAAAAACTGCCAACCAAGAATCCTTTCTCCAGCAAAGCTATCATCAAATACAATGGTGTTAATAAAAATATTCTAGGATAAACAGAAGCTAAGGGATTTTGCCAAAGCCATCTGGATCGGTGTTTCTACGTGTTTACCAGATGGAGAGACGGTCAGGTAGATTACAGGATAAAACAGACGGCACTAAATGGAAGAAAAAGTTAATAGAATACAAGGTAGCCTCAAAGAAAATTAACATAATAACAGCAATTGATCCATACATACCTATCAATAATTACACTGAATGTAAATGGATTAATTGCACCAGTTAAGAGACAGAGGGAGGCCGAATGGATAAGAAAACAAGATCAATCACTATGCCGTCTGCAAGAGACACAAATTACACACAGACAACAACAGATTAAAAGTCAAAGGATGGAAAACAATATACCAAGCTAATTGCAATAAAAAATGAGGCGTGGCAGTATTAATCTATGATAAAATAAACTTCAAGGCAAAAATCAGCATAATAGATAAAGATGGACATTATCTCATGATTAAAGGGATAATTGAACAAGATGACATAACCATAATAAATATCTATGCTCCCAATGAAAGCGCTCCAAAACATATAAAGTAAACTCTAATAGATTTGAAGAAAAAAACAGACGAAGCTACAATAATTGTGGGCAATTTAATACACCACTTTGAATAGAACCAGAAAAAAACTTGACAAAGACACAGAGGAACTAAACAACACAATCAGCCAACTGGACCTCATAGATGTATACAGAGCAT